CTAGCTCCCCCAATCTTCCTCTTCGTGATGGAAGCAATTGCGTCATTCCTACGCAAAGACCCATACATTCACAGACTACCAGAGGTTAATGTAGGCACAGCCCACCACTTAAAGTTCCCGACAGTAATACTGTTCGCTGACGACCTCACGGTCCTCATAAGAGCTTCAGACTCGTCGTTCAGTGCGCTAGTAAGAGCAATGGAGGCATTCAGACTGGCATCAGAAATGAAGATTAATTGGAAAAAGACAATTGGATGGTGGCTATCRGRGGAVGACGCTCCCCAACTYCAAGGCCCGGARGCARAAATGACAYGGGAGTCACCACAGACTCCTACGAGGTATTTAGGCATCTTGTTGACGAAGGACGGCTTTGCCCCTCAGATGGCTCAAAATGTACTAGTAAAACAAATTAACAAACTAGGTAGGTGGGGCAACACATTCACATCGTTGTTGGGTCGGGCACTAGCAATCAACACATCGATTTTCTCAATGATGTGGTATATTGCATCAATTTGGACTGTTCCAGATCATTCAATCAAGGAACTTAACCGTAAAGCCAGGGCCTACTTGTGGTCGGGCGACCCCAACAAAGAGAACTGCATACCAAAGATAGTTTGGCACTACATCACAAGGAAACCAGCCAAAGGAGGCCTAGGTATCATAGACCCCAAACAGGAAACCAAAGCCTTACAAGTTAAATGGGTGATCAAACTACTGACAAAACTAGGCACGGCGTGGAATAAACTGGCTTTGGATAGCATCAGGGGCCTAGCACCAATATCCACGCCAGCAAACATGTCCGGTCTGTTCTGGGTAATGTCCAAAGATTGGATTCTGAATACAGGACGCAGAAATCAACGAAGAGGAACTGACCCAAACGTAGCCAGGCCTCCTGTACCCTATTGGACTGCACTGCTACGGACATGGCGGGAAGTCACGCCGAAAAAGGTGGGTAAACCCAAATCCAACGACGAAGTTCTGAGGCAACCTCTGTTTAGTAATCCGTGGGTTAGAGACGAAGGTGACCACCAATTATCCCTTAACCCTAGAGGAAGGAGATGGTTATCGTGGATCAAACATGG